GGTGAGTTAAAATATGTGCTTGTGGGAGAGAAAAGAGAGGGTTTTTATTGTGAGGTGGTCTAATTATGTATGACCTAGCATGTGCAAGTTTGTCAGGCACATTGGAACAATTGTGTCACAGTACAAGTTACACCAGTTGTGTTTGTAGTAACCCCAGAGGCTTTACAACCACTGTGCATATTTATATATGTGATTCTGATGTCTCTGGCTCCTTAGGAAGTAGTCTTCATTTGTTTTAGAAAAGCACCTCCATAACAGAATGGCCCCAGTGATATCTCCTGCAGTCATACCTGAGCACTGAGGAGATGAATCCAGAGTTTCCAGAAAAGGAAGCCAGCTCTCTCCCACCTCCAGACCAGAGGTCTGACATACTGAATCTTCTTGCAACACCTGCTCATTTCAACAGGATCCACTCTGAAACCATAGAAAGAGGATACTATAGGGTTTTTCTTCCAGCAGTAGAGCATAGAGAGGGATGGCATAGGCAGCAGCACAGAGAATAAAAGATTGCATATTTCTCAGGTTACCAGGACAGCAGATCTGATTTTGTGTTCAGCTTCTTGGCAATAGAATGGCAGGTTTAAAAATAAATAAAATAGCAATAAATATTATAAAAGAGTATTTGTAGGTATTTCACATCTAGGTGGATGTACACGAGCTGGTTAAATCGAAGAAGTCTGAGCTTCATTCAGATTGCCTGAGAGTCCCATGTGCTTTAGAAGTTCCATACAATATAACTTACTGATAAAGAGTTTATCTTATTCTAGGGAAATAATAAGCTTGGGATGCTTGTTTTTTCATAATATTTGTATACATCTTGTCAACAGTGGATCCCTTCCATTGCTTATGAAGATATCTGCACAATAAAAGAAACACAAGTTTGCAGCTGTTTAAAATCCAAAAGAGAATCAGGACTGCAGCTGCTCCTTTTTCTACACCAAGCTGTGTAGGTGGATAAATTGAACACCCATGCAATTGTATTGCTGAAAAGTTCATCATCCCTCAGCCCATTCCTGCCCAGCTGTGATGTAAACTACAGATTATATATTTGAGGGTGAGGGCTACATCTTGTTTTGTTTCTGGGAATCACTTCATGCATTTCTGAGCACTGTATAATTATTAAAGTACTATAATTCAAAAGAAGAAGTAAAATTCACTCATGCCATGTCTAGTGGTGAAGAACAAGTTTTAGCCCAATCAGGTTCAGATAATCACTAATATGGCAATTTGCATCTTAGATTAGCCTTTGCTGTTGCATGCCACAACAGTATCTGAGACAGGAGGTGCATCTACATGTGTGCTTTACTGCAGAGTTGATTAGTTAACTCTGCAGTAAAGCATCACAGCAGTAAAGCGTCACAGTCTACACATGCATGGGTATTAGGCTGCAGTAAATTAATTAACTCTGCGGTAGGATAGAACTTTTGGGGGACAGCACTGTCCTATGGTGGAGTACTTAACTGTGATGAAACGCACGTGTAAACAGTGACAGGGGCTGGCTGGGGCACAAGGGTGCTAAAGTGCAGGGGCTTCCTCTTGCCAAGCTCTGCACTTTAGCACCAGGGCTGACCCCCAAGGCCCCCTGCCAGCCTGGGGTTGCTCCAGCCTACCTCAAAGTTCTGCTGTCCCAGGCACATGTGTAGATGCTGTGCCCAGCAGCAGGTGACTCTGGTGCAAAAGCATGTGTAGATGTACCCAGGAAGTGCAAGCTGTGCCAGTGGGTAAGGTCTTGACAGCATGATCAGGAGTTCTGGGCAAAATTCATCTCTGATGTGGCAAAAATAAATTCAGCAGTTACCTCCAGTGATGAATTGGGCCCCATTCATGAGTACACAGGTCAGGCACAGGCTATAGGATGATATGAATGCTTAGCTCAGTGATGCACAACCTTTTGGCCTCACAGATCAAATGAGTGGTGCAGATCTGGTCCATTGGCCAGACTGGGACCTCCACCCTGCCCCACATGTCCAAATCAGGCCCTCTATGCCCCACCCAGCCCTGCATGCCCAGATAAGGCCCAGTGCCACCCTGAAAACCCAATCTAGTATGCAGGGCCCCCACAGGTCTAGACATTTGAGAGCGGGGGAGTGGCCACCACTTCCCTGATGCCAAATGTTTGGCCCTAGGGTGAGCCTTGTGTCCCAGATGACATGGCTCTCTGGACTGGATAGATTACATCAGATGGTCTGACCAAAAAATATGCATAAAGAAATTAATTTTCCCTGCCTTCTTTTTCCTCCATTCCCCTCACCCTTGCTTTACCTTTTGTTTCTTCTTCTTCCCTATTAATATTTTCACTACATCCTCTCACACTTGGAGCTTCTCTCATTCCTGTTTTCCTGATTTCCAACTATTTTTTCTTTCATTGACAGTCTCTTTTATACCTTGTAGTCTATCACTCTAATGTCTCCCTTTAGCCATTTCCCCACCCTGTTCTCTTCCTCTTCCCACTCCCCTCTCTGCTTTACTTCTCTGCTTCACCTTTTTGTCTTTCTAATTTTGACCTATTTGCATTTTCACTGACATCCTGCCACACTTTTAGATTTTCTCATTCCTTGGAGACTCAGACCAGCAGAGACTCCCTATGCCTGAAGAAGGGTGACTGAGTCAGAAAGGTTGCTAAGAACTTTTTCCCAACTACTCAGTTGGTCTAATTAAAGATATCACATCTACTCAAAGACCCATGCCTGCCTAAAGAGATTAATAACATTTAATACAGGTTATCTCAGATATAATCTCTCTCTATCATCCTATTATTAATTTAAATGATCCAATATTTTGCACAGGTGCCAGTTTGCCCAGTGACAGACCAAACTTGCTTTTTACTGATGCTGCTCAATTAATGAAAACTGTTATTGTAAAATAATCCATTTGATGTGTGATAGGGAAAAAACCCCATTAAATATACTGTTTGTAGAGGTCAAAGAGTTAAAAAAAAACATTTAAATAGTCGGTTTCATTTAAAGCTACCCAAATTAATTGGGAAAAAATATTTGCACTACATTATTAGCTTCAGGTTTACCTGTGCGCCAGACATTGTGACATTCTCCATTGTGCTGCTGCATCTCCTAGCAATGTTGAGGAAGCAAGTGCCACCCAAGGAGAGAGATGAAGCCCCTTTCAGTTACGTGGGCAGCAGGGCTCAAGCCAGAGCTATAGTCATTCCCCCCCCTGAGGTAGGGGGCTGGAAGCATTGCTGCCACCACTTCATGTTGTGGTTCTCTGGTTGGTCCAGATGCCTGAGTGCTACATAGTCCGGCTTGGGACTTGTTGCACAGTGTTTCAGATCACATTCCTTAATGCAGGAGTGTCAGATATACAACCTGTGGTTTGAATCCACTCTGCAAAGCCCTGTCCTCCAGCCCCTGGTGCTTCTGCTGGGTCTGATCAGGCCCACACAGGGCAGCGTGTGCTCCCGTGGTACCCGCCTCCACCAGCATGTCTGGTCTGGCAGCCACTCTATCCAGTCTGGACCCAGCCCCATGCCACTTTTCTAGCCTGCAAGTCTTAATGTGTACCTTGACAACAACTTAAATGCAAACAATAGGCAGAAGAGAATACCTGGGACTTTCTCCCATTTGGCACCCTTTTCTCTCCAGGGCTCACTCTGCAAGCAATATCTCTTCATGATACCATTTTGCTTCACTCCAGTTTCAAATGAAAAGTCACTGAACCTCAGTTAATTTATTCTCCTTTTCCTCGTTAAGCCTTGGAAATCTGCACAATTGCTACAAGGAACACCCACAAATGGCCTTTGAATTGATTTTATTGGCACCCTCTAAGTCTGTAAGATGTGCTGTTTTGTTGTTATTCCTGAGAAGAGAAGAGGAAGGAAATGTTCTTGTGGTTGCTGGGCATTTTCTTTATAGCATCTGGTTTCTTTGCAGAAATTCTGATGGAAGAATCAATGAGTAAGTGCACAGCAAGACACTATCATTCATCTCCCTTCTTCCCTGCCTCTCCTCACCACCCACTCTTGAACGCTTGACAGCATTTCTGCCCAGGGCACCAAAATTGCTAGATATCTCTCTAGTAAACTCAGCGGAATGTTAAAATTTGAGTCTGTATCTGTATCAAAGTTTTACAAATTACAATTTTCTTTATTGCATGTGTAGAGCGGCCACATTTTGTAGGTCACATTATACTATTGTAACATCTGATGAAGTAGGTTTTCACCTATGAAAGCTCTCTGAACCAGTTATTTTCTAAGGGTTATACTTAAACCATACTAAATCCATTGAATGTTAAGGATGTTAAAGTTATAATGCAATGTAAGCAATCACACGTTAAGGATTAATTCTGTTTCTTGCCTGCGCAGCTCTGAATTGCCACTAGAGAGCTGGTGAGCAAGGGCATGGGTAAGAGCCAGGACACCTGGGTCCTATGCCTGCACTTGGATTGAGGGGGATGGGAGAGGTGCATCCTAGGATGCTGGAGGACTGCAAATTGCTTGTCTTATCTCTGTGGAGCCGATTGAAGTTACCCTAACACAAGCTAAGTAGCACAGCCCAGTGATAATCTTTGCATTAAGTGGCATAACTTCGAGATCTTCAGAGGGCACATAGCATAAATAGAGAAGTCATGGTTTAAACTATGGTTATTCTCCATCAAATAACAATGTAAGGTTGACTCTAGAATCTAAAGTCAGTGGAAAGGCTCCCAACTAACCTCAGTGGGAGTTGGAGTGGGCCACAGGTGACAAATACAAGGAATTTTTTAGGGCTCTTTGCTCCTATTAACCCTGGAGAGCCCAAATGGCTTCAAGAGAAGGAGCTCAGTTCTCTTCCTCCTTATGTTCCACTACCAGCATTGTTACTTACTTCTATTCTGTTACATTTATGCAAAAACACTTAAGTCAAGGAGTGTCCAGGCATTGCTGAAGCCTTGGTTTATTGAGCAGAACCTTTACTGCTGGTAAAAATATGAAAGAAGGAAAGAACAGTTTTTTACTCTCAGAGCCCAGATAGAGCTGATTGGACTGGCAGTTAAAGGAATAACATATTTTATTTGTCAAGTGAGAATGTTTATTGCAGAAGATATTAAGAGATAATAAACAAGGAACTCCATCCACAATGCCATTTTTCAGGGCAGGACTGTATCTTAACGGAAAATCTCCACACTCTTTACATAATGGGCATAAACACTATTTGACAGCAGCCCATTTATAGCCATGCTGAAGAGTTACTGCAGCTTTGGTAATGAAAAACCAAGTGTCTGAAAGCTTTGTAAATGTACCGATTCTGAGTACAGATGAACCCACCACTTCTCCCAGCCTGTGGTGGGGCACGGTTTAGGTCTCCAATGCATGTCCACTCATCTTCATATTGCCTTGAAACACACCATTTAGAATGATCGTGAAAGGAATAGAAAGTGGAGTTCCATGGGGTCTTAATTAGGTTTATGTTGAAGACGTAGTGTTGGAGAGAGCAGTTGGAGGGAAGGTCATGTTTGTAGTGGTGCCAGTATTCAGCTAACAAATCTGTCTGCAATTGCTGAGCCATCCAGGCTACGTAGATGTCTGTAATTACAGAAGAAGTAAGTAAATTATATCGATATCATTCCTCCATTCACTTCCCTTATGTTTCTAAGGGTGAAATCCAAAAAATTATTGGGCTTGTGATCTATTTTGTTTCTTTGTTGCCTGACAGTGGGTTTTTAAAGGCTTTTCTCCTTATTTTGTTTAATCTTACCAATAGTAGGAATGCCTGGTCTAGTTTTCCCTCATTTTGCTGGCAGACGTGTTGAGGAACTTAACTTTATTTCTGGAAATATTGAGTTTTTAACAAAAACTTCCTTTCTCTAAACTGTCAGCTTGGTTATTGGAGTTAAATAGGGGTTAACAAGACCTGACAACAGCAAAGCATTTTAAATAATCCAACAAATAGTGCCTTCCTCTTATTTGTTCAGTCCCTCATTTCTTCAGCTTTCATTCTCTTGGGTTCTGCAGCAGCACCATTATATTGCTCATTTAACTATCAAGAGTCTTCTGGCTTGAAAGGACCTGTATATCTAATGCAAATGACAAGAAAAAACATCAAAAGGAGAAAAAAAACCCCTTCTTCACACATTATACAGCAGCAAAAGAGAAAGACACAAGCCCATTTTTTCTTTGCCTAAAAGTAGAGATTTTTGAAGACCCCCTGTACCGTACATTACCAAAAGCACAAGACAGCCTTTTCCTTTGCTATGTTATTACTGTGATGTTTTCTATTTTGTGTGGGGTTTTTTAGTAATGTTTAAAAACGTCAGTACATACATCTATCTTCTACATTCATCTCTGTAACTGGGCTTCTCTGTTCAGCCTTTCTTACCGTCAACAAAAAAGTGTGATTTAGCAAAGTGGAGGAAGTTCTCCCCACCGGCTGACTGGAGTTTGGAGAGGCGGCGCCAGGGGATCAGAGGCAGCTCAGACCCTGCACAGAGTTTTTGCAGATTGGGAAGGTCAGGGTGAAAGACACTAGGCATGGAGCAGTTGTAGACCTTTGGGTTGTAGCAGAGCAACTGTTTGTCTGAGCAAAAAGACACGGACAAGCACAACATTAAAATGTACTATTGTAAAGTAATTAAAAAACCAAAAATGGGCTCAAGCTTGAAACAAAGCAATATAAAATCAGTGCCTTTTATTCCCCTCATCCTAGGCTTAGAGTAGGACCTGATGACTTGAGGGATACAGTGTTTTTTCTGATTTGCACTGCAGAGCTGAGTGACCTGACTTTTACTTCCTCTTGTGCATCAAGGGCAGAGCTGTCAGCTAGGGCCTCAACCCTGCAGACACTTACAGAAGGATTTCTCTTCAGACCTATAAGTAGGTCCGCTGAAAGCAAGTCACGTGTAAGGTTAAGCATGTGCCTGGTTGCAGGTCAGGGACCCAGTTCCAATCACTTAACCTGTGTAAACCCAGTCAAAGCAACAGGGTTGCACAAGGGCTCCTGAAGGCCTCACTTGGCCTGCAGATCCCTAACTATTGAAAGTATGAGATGCACAAAGGCCAGAGCTTAGCTTGCAAAGTCCTGGGGGGAAGTCAGTACTTCACTGAGACAGCTTTTGACTTGTAAACCAAGCACATCTGGGATGATACATGTGGCCTCCCAAAATGTCATTTTTACTGTCAGAGAAGAGTTTTTACTACTCAGAGAAGAGTTGCACTAGGAAATATGCAGTGGTAGTTCTGAATCAGGTGTTCAGAAAATTAATTTCTATTTATTTTTTATGACTGGCATTTCACATCACAAAGGTACTTATGTAAACTCCTGGTGTGACTCCATGTCCAACTGTTGATGGGTCAGTGCTACTATGCCAGCTTCATCAGCAGTTGTATAATATTGTGTAAATCATTATAGTTGGTAAAACAACTAAGCTTTTTTTTTTTATAATACGTGACATGCCTGTGCATGCACAAAATAATTAATCATCACAAAGGGGAAGTTGGTATTTATTGGTAACTCAGTTTTGTATGTGAAGAAACTGAGGCACACAGGAAAACAGTGGATAAACATAATTTAAAGACAGGAGTTCTGAGTTTCCAGCCTCATATTTAAAAATGACAACAAAGGACAAAAAATAAGTAGTTCTTTGAGGCCCAATCCTAAAGAACCGATTCAGAGATGTCTGTGTGCGAGAGCAGGAAGACCTTGCCATACCTATTTCTGCAAACTGGTTATATCTGAATGTTATGCAGATGGCTGTTTGTCCATATAGCTCCCCAGAAGGTGGATATCCATAACCCTCCTCAGGGAATGGCGGGAACCGAGGAATGCTGTGAATCCCCCAGAAACCTTGGGATTTGTCCAACACTAGAAATCCTGTCAAAATACAGTTATTGCAGATATGTTAGGGAACAAAGCTAGGGAAAATGTAGACATTGTCCTCTTCTCCTCCCTTAAAGTAGCACTGTTCAAGTGGGATGCTAATGATCCATTGTAACCCAGCTTTAAATCATTTAGAGGGATAATGAATTACTAACAATAATATATTGTGTTCCTATAGTGCCTCCCGTCCAAGGAGCTCCAAACCCAATTGTAATATATTTTAACCATTTTACAGATGGGAAAATTGAGGCATAGAGAGGGGAAACTACCTGTTGAAAGTCACACATGAAGTTTGTGACAGAGCTAGGAATTCAATCCAAGTATCAAATGATAAAGAATAAGGAAGGGCAGGACATAGGGAGGCCATCAAACCGATCTACTGGTCCAAGGACCATTCCAGACAGATGTTTATCTAATCTGCCTGTATCTCCAGTGATGGAAATTCTACAAATTTTAGTTACCACTTCTGCACCTTAACACAGCATATTTTCTCTCAAAAGATCGCAAAGCACTTACAAATCATAAGTACAGCAACCATTTTATAAGGCAACTCAGTGGAACAAAATTAGAGGTGCACCGATACATCGGTCCCATATAAGGAAAATTGACAGTACCAGCAACCAGCTTTTTTTGGCTGATAATGTGGCCAATAAATTCTCCATGCATGCACGCAGCCACAGTGCAGCATGCGGGTGACAAGGAGCACAACCCAGCATTGTGGAGAGCAGCCAGGTCTGGCTGGTAATTCTGTTGTGGGGGAAGGGGTGAGGCCAGGAAAGGAGTCTGTGGGTGGCAGATCAAGGCCCTCATGGTGAGGGAGGGAGTAGAGCTGGGGCTGGGGCAGGTGCTGCCCAGCCACAGCGGGGTGGAGCGGGGCACAGGACAAAGCTGTGGCTCATCTGCGGGGCGCAGGGAAGCGGGGTGGCTCCCACCAGTAAACACCCCAGGAGGGCATAGGGGGCGTGTGCCCCTGGATCTGCATGTGGGGTTAGGGTGGGCTGCAACTGTGGGTTGGGGCTGGAGAAGTGCCAGACTCTTCCTGGCGGGCCCTGGGCCAGGGCTGTTCTTGGGGTGGCAGCAGTGCTGCAACAGGGGCTATGGCGAGTTTTGGGGTGGCTGCAGTGTTCCCTCACAACAGACTTACCAGCTGGACGCTGCTCTCCAAGCTGCCGGGCTGCATATTGGCAATCGGATCGGTATGGCCAATACGGCTCGTTAAAAACTGGCCATTGGTATCGGCCCAAAAAATCTCTATTGGTGTACCCCATAACCTTCCATCACACAAGGACAAGTGAATGACATCATCATCTCCAGTGGACTCTGATTGGAGTTCACACCCCTATTTTTTGGGCTAGTGCCATTGGATTTTCAATGAACACAAAAGGGGCATTTCAAAGGTTGTCATTTAGAAATGTGAGTGATTTTATAATGGCTTTGACCCTCTCTCCCCAGCATTGTACCCTTCCTTATATTGGTCCAAATGGATTAATCAGTGGAGAGAAAACTAACTCTGCTAGCAATAGCAGGGCAAGTCCTTGTATAAATCCTTCCCCACATGGAGTTTAGGAGAAACAGCAGGTGGAGGGAACATGGTTCCCATTGCAGCTACATTGCCATGGGGACCAAGGCTTCCAGGGTTTCACCATGTCTGCAAACTAAAGACCTGGGGGTCCAAAGCCCTTGCTCATTCCAAAGGGAAGCCAGACAAACCTAGCTCTCTTCCCCAGTGGAACAACTAGAAATTTGCTGAGCCCCCCTCTTCAGGAAAACACGTTCAACTCATTCGTGTGTACCAGTAGATTCCTGAATGTTAGCCTCACATTCTTGCCTCCTCCTAGATTTTCCTGCCCTGAAAGTTCAGAAATTGAGTTCATACTTCTATCACTTGGGACACTTGGAAAGCTATTGCTTTCACACCCTGTGTTGCTGGTGTCACTGAGCAAAGGACAGTATGGCTCCCTACTTGCCAAAAGTGAGATATAGATGTTTTATCCTCTGAGAAAAGGGTAAAAAGTCAGTAGGACTTAGACATTTCTGTACTGCATGGACATCACAGAGGCAAATACAGAAAATGAAGTGACAGCATTGGCATCTTTTAATATTATGCAACAAATCCTTGCACTTAGCTTTGGCTCAAACAAGGGTTCTCTTTTTGGAGAGAGAGAGAGAGAGAGAGAGAGAGAGAGAAATTCTCAATAAAAACAGCAGAGAAGGATTAACCTGGTACCTTTTGTGTGCCCTTTCTTCCAGCTGTAATGATCTGAATAAGGGACATCATCATTATATACTGCATAAGCAGTGCTGTCACTCTGCAGGAAAACACCGAATTTTATGAACTTTAATTTAAAGAAAAAGAACAAGCATTTGAAAAACTACTGTTATCTGTAAGAGAACAATACTCCACTGAATTAAACTGCTGCAACCTCTTTGATTTCCAGGGAGAACTAAGATGGTTAAGGTCAATGATGTTTAAATCACACTATTATTTGTAGCCAGCATCACACAAGAGAGATGTAGCTACAGTATCCAGCTGCCTTTGACTCCACCAAACCAAATGACCATGTACCCATTTACAGCTTGGCTAACTGGGGAAACTTGGCTTTGGTACAAGCCCAGATTCAATTTAAACTGAGGAACTGTAGCAAGACCTCTTAACCTTTCTGCCACTGTGTCCCTCCAAAGAGACAGGCTAGGTTACGTCTGCATGATAACCTAGTTTCTAAGGGTGAAGTTACACGTTACACTTAGCCCATACTAAATCTGTGGAACGTTAAGCAGAGAGCCTCCAGGGTTTAGCGTAGTGGGAGCATGGAGCTGCAGGGAGCAGGGAAGCATGTTTTCCCATGGCTCTGTGCTGCAACTGTGCTAAACCCTGGTGTCTCCACACCCACCATGAAGCTTCTGAAGCATGGAGAAGGCTGGGGAGACAGATTGGGTCAGGAGGGCTGGGATCAGGTCAGCAGAGTTCATTGAAGGGCCCCCTGCAGCAGAGCCTCCTCCCCCCACCCTGGGAATGCAGGGACCTGCAGACTGAAGCCACAGCTCTCATGCCCCATGCCTCTCCACCTCCCAGCTCCAGGCTTCAGCAGCTGCAGCTCCCCTCCCTCCCTTCTCCCATGACTTTGGCAGGGCCTTGCCTACTCCTGGATAGTACCATCCCTTGGGCAGTAGAGTTTGGGAGGGTGAAAAGTTCATCCATGGAGTAGGGGTCAATGGGGAAGAGCTAGAAGTGGAGCATCCTGGGATGCTTGAAAACTGCAAATTGCTCATTTTATCTTCATGAAGTAGACTGAGGTTACCCTAACACAAGCTAGGTAGCACAGCCCAGAGTTAATCCTCTCCTTAAGTGGTATCACGGAGGTGCTCAGAGAGCACTTAGCACAAGTTAATAAAGTTTAACATGCAGATACCCACATTTTAAGTGCCCTTAGCATGGTCTAAGTGTAATATATAACGTCAGCCTAAGAGTTCCATTAACCAACAGGCCACAGGGCAGTATTTTCTTTATTTTTGCAGGTTGTTTCTGATTTAGTAAATCTGTGGAACATTAAGTGGAACAACTAGAAATTTAGTAATCACATCATAAGGAAATTGTTCATTAAAGTTTTGTTTAGGAAATGCTCCAATCATTCTTAATTAGGTGGTGCAGTTAGTTTTAGCAAAATAATCACACATACACAGCACCCTATTTTTCCTATAAGCTCTCCTGGCCCAGTGGATTCTAGTGGACTTTAAAGGTGCTTTTCTCTCCCAAGCTCTATACTTTGCAAGTGTTAGCAGAACATAAAAAATTGGCACTTATGTTGTATCTACAGAGTGTAAACACCTTCTCCCAGTGACAGTGTACAATCCAGACAGAAGAGTCAGAAGATTATCAGTGTTTAACTGGCTTCTTGTAATCTTTCCCTTGCACAAAGTTAACTACAAAAACACTTGAAAATAATTTTACAGGCCTATCTTGAACCCACAGCAAGAATGCCAGACCATAGTCCAATGTGACCCATAGTATGTAAGTAACAAAAAATATCTGTATCAGTTGTCAGCTTTACAGAGAGTGGGCTTGATTTTCCACTTTCTTGTGCCTTGGAGGGGTATGTATACCTGCACAGAGTGAGTCTAAAATGTGGCTACCATGTGGCTCTACTAACATTTTACAACAGCTTTGCACAAGCATGACTAGGCGAGGTACCAGGCAGTGAAAATCCAGGCTCAGTATGTAGAATGTTAACTGGATGAATAGTCCAACTGATTTCTATGGGAGTAAAAAACCCGATAGTTAAACTGTAGCTCACTAATTTTATGAACAAGATGATGTAGTAAGACTGATTGGTATAGCAAGGGCCTAGATTTAATGCCTTATCCATTCAACCCTACTTACTGTGTCTCTAAATTAATATTCACAGATTAAAATACTGCTCAGGGGGAATGAAGGTTGAAGAAAATTTATAGGTGTGTAAGTTTGCATTCTGAACATCTTGCTTATTGGATGCCTTCGTAATGTTTTAACTGTGTGAAAGGTTTGGCTGGAATGCAGAACGCACCCAAAATGGGGCTGGCTTCTAGTTCTAGCCAAACCTGCAAAAGATCTGCTTTGCTTCTTGAAATTTGTGGTGAAAGAGTAAGCATATTTCTCTTTCCATTGAGAACACATAGACTGTCAGTCAGGTCCCACAATGTTTTTTTCATTTCATTTACATTCGTTTCATTTCATTTACATTTTAGACATTTCATTAAATACAACAAAATGAACATATTAACAAACAACAATGAAATGGCGCTTGCCTTGGACTCATACGCTTCATAAAGTTGCATCAGTGTTTGTCCCAGCGCATTCTGTGTCATATTGACTAGATATTTACTCAGTGCCCAAGCTTTCGTTGAAGAATCCATGTACATGTATTCCAGTCCAGACCCAGGACTCTCTTCTCTCATGTATTTTGGTAATTTATAAAGAAGAAACCTGCAGCAAATGAACGATAATCAAAATGATCAGTCATCCTGCTGGCAATACTTCCCTGCTACATGGCATCACTTCCCTGCTACATGCCATGTGAACACTTAAGGCCAGATTCCATTCTACCTATTAGGTGCATAAGTGGATTTAGACATCAAAGAGCAATCCTACTCCACCCTGCTGGAGTCCCTGAAGAACAGTTTATACAAACTAGATAGGTCTTTCTCATCCTGGTTGCTTTTTTGTGACTCAGTCTTAAGGACAGGATGAAAGCATGATAAAAAAGTAAATGCATTAATGTTTTTAGAGGCTTAAACAGGATGGAACAGAATTGTACTTAGGCACCTATGTCTACTTAGATGCCCAGTAGATAGATCAGTTTGGCTCTTAGATCAAACAGAGCCTCTTTCATGCATAATCTTTCCTAAGGAAAAAAAAATCTCCATTTAAAACCTTCAGAAGTTTTGATTTTAAAAAGTAAACTCTAAGACACAGAAATCAATTACAGTGGGAATAGTAACTGGGTGAGGGAGAATTCTCCCTTTGCCGTTGTGAATGTCAGAACTCCTCAATCTTGTTTTAAAGGAAATGTAAAGCCTATTCTTGGGCTCAGCCTAAGTAGATGTAATTTTGGTGACATTCAGTACTCAGTCCCCTAATATATGGTTGGCATTTGGCCCTTAGTGTTCTCAGGCACACTGAAACATGTCCATGGCTATTTAAAAGAGTTTGTAGTTTAGCTCTACTCTGAAAAATGACAGAGGATATTTACCCTGTACCCATGGTTCAACACAGGATACGTTATCCTGCTTTTTAGGTGTGTTTGCAGTCAGTGCTGAGCTCCCTGCTGCTGTAGCTAGACAGCCAGACAGCACTCAGCATGCAAGCTAGCTGGTTTAAAGCTAGCCTAGGTTTGTCTGTGATGTATGCTTCAATGAATACAGTGTAGGCATAACCAGTCTTGTACAACAAACCTTCCCTTGAAGTGTCACATCTGGTGACACAAAACTTGCTTTATGGCTTTTTAGACTATTTGCCCTGCGGAGCTACTGCAGCTGATGGAGAACAACCTGGTTCTATGTCATTTTGTGCTCAATGGGTCCCCATCTAAAAAATCCTGTAGAAAGGTGTGGTGGTGGTGGTGGTGGTGAGGGGGAGGGGTGGGGGGTGGTGCACAACTGACACTTGTAATCTGACTTAGCCTGCAAAAACTTTATCACTCCTGGTGCCATAAGAGCCTGTTTTCTTTTTTTGCCAGTAGGTGCTTGCAGACATAAGCTGGGGGGGCCCAAATGGCACTTTACTTCTAACTTGGTGTGTTCCTGTGCCAAGCCCCGTGCTTGCCCAGAAGATGCAATGCATTACTTGAACCCAACTTTGCAGCATCTGTAAAGACTGGGTGCTTTAGTGGGACTTTTTTGGTGCTTTTATCTAATAGGTAATTGAATCAGCTTTAACTAAAAGCACCAAAAAGCCCCACTGAAGTGCCTAATCTTTACAGATGCTGTAGAGCCAAGTTGAAGTAACACACTGCTTCTTCTGGTAAAGCACAGTTCTTTTGTGGTTTTTTTTTAACATTTGCAAGCATGGCTCCATGGGTGCTGAGCACCCACTAATTTTTTTCAGTGGGTGCTTGAGCCCTGGAGCACCCATAGAGTCAACAATACCTATGCTAATGGCACTTTATCGTGCATCAGCAGATGCATGATGAATATATCCAAGGAGGTGATACTTCCTCTCTATCGGGCGCTGGTCAGACCGCAGTTGGAGTACTGCGTGCAATTTTGGGCACCGCACTTCAAGAGGGATGTGGATAACCTGGAGAGGGTCCAGAGAAGGGCCACTCGTATGGTTAAGGGCTTGCAGGCCAAGCCCTATGA